AGAGGAAGGAAGGAAGGAAGGAAGGAAGGAAGGAAGGAAGGAAGGAAGGAAGGAAGGAAGGAAGGAAAGAAAGAAAGAAAGAAAGAAAGAAAGAAAGAAAGAAAGAAAGAAAGAAAAACCATGAACTCAGAATATAAAACATGGCTTTGTTTGTACTAATAACTTCAGTGAAAGAAGAAAAGAAGGATGGATTCAAGAGCTAGAAGCTGAAGGGCACCACACAGATTATCATACTCCAGTTTTTCATAATATTGATTTAAGTCTTCTCCCTTCTTCTCTTGATCAGTGTTTCCAGAGATTTGTCTATTTTAGTTAGTTTTTTTTTTACAGAACCAACTTTAAGTTGAGTCGATAGCTCTCATATTGTTATTTTCCATTGTACCAATTTCTGCCTTAATTTTTCTCTTTTATTCTACTCTTTAGGTTTATTATTGTTCATCGTTTGACTTCTAAATATGGACACTGGGATTGTTAATTTTGATGGTCAACTCTTCTAAAGTAGAAGTATTTAAAGCTGTGAATTTCCCTCAAAGCATCATTTTTTAGATAATATTTTCACTCCCCACTCCGTAAGGTGGGCTCTCCATAGCGACTTCCTTTGGCAGAGTATGCTATCGAAAGGGGGAAAGAGTATAACTTCACAGTGGAGACCTGACAAATACTGCCTCAGCCAGGTGCGCAAGGTCTGTCTCAACAGCGATAGCTCATGTTGATAGTAATTACCACTGAAGTGACGTGATGTAAGTGGCGCTTTAGGTGCAGTCTTCCGCCCAAATACCATAATCCCAGGCTAATCATAGAGAACATCAGACAAATTCCATAAGTGGGGCATCCTGCAAAATATCTGACCAAGACTTCTCAACATTGTCAAAGTCAACAAAATCAAGGAAAGTCTGGGGAACTGTTGCAGCCAAGAGGAGCATAAGGAGATTTGACTACTAACTGTAATGTTATATTTGGGCATTAGGGAAAAACCTAGAGAATCTGAATAAAGTATGAAGTTTAGGTAATAAGAATGTATTATTTGGTTTATTTTTTTAATGTTTATTTATTTTGAGAGAGAGAGAGCAAGTACGAGTGGGTGAGGGGCAGAGAGAGAGGGAGAGAGAGAAGCCCAAGCAGGCTCTGTGCTGCAGAGTCCAAGAAGGGCTCAGTCTCACAAACCATGAGATTATGACCTGAGCTGAAATCAAGAGTTGGACACTTAACCGACTGAGCCACCCAGGCACCCCTTATTTGGTTTGTTAATTGAGGCAATTGTACCATGCTAATATAAGAAGGTAATAATAAGGGAACATGGGTTTGGGATATATGGGAAGTCTCTATATTATCTTCCCATTATATTATTGGAAGGGGGCACCAGTGTCATGTCCTAGAGTCCAAAGGCCCAAACACCTTTGGACTCTAGGACCAAGGGCAGGAGAAGATGAATGTCTTAGCTCAAGAAAAGGAAGAAAATTTGCCCTTTCTGCACTTTTGTTCTATTCAGGCCCTCACGGGATTGTATGATGCCCACTCACATCGATGGGCATCACATTGATGGGAGTGGATCTCTTTACACAGTCTGCCGGTTCACATGCTAATCTCTTCTGAAACATCCGCTCAGACATCACAAAAGCTGTATTTTATCAGCTACGTGGATACCCTTTAGCCCAGCTAAGTTGAGATATATATATATATTGGGATTAAATTCATTGGATATCCAACGAGATAAGAGACTAAAGCGCTTATTACTAGATGTAAGTCTGTGCTTTTGGCTTCTTGCAGAAAAACCAAAGATGTTTGGATCTGTTGATTGATTCATAGTTTGCCATCTAAGAAATTCTAATGTAACAGTTCATAATTGGTTACTACTTAGTTTTCACTGATGACTAAGGTTTCTGAGAGTTAAAATTCTGCTAAATGTAGTAAAGACTAATAAAAATTTAAAAAACTCTACACGTAAAAGAGTAGATATATAAAAAATATGTATATAAGCAATGGAAATACCTTTTTTCTTAAAGAAAAAAAAAGACTTAGGTCAAAATCTAAAAGCAAAAGAAAGTTGTAATAAGTTTGTAAAAAAAAAATCTTAAAAAAAAATTATATCTGGTCAGGAGGTCTAAGGTTAAACCTTTAAATTACCCTAAATTATCCACTATCTTACAGACACAAAATAAAAGCCCGGTGGCCTTCCTGGAAAGGAAGGGAGGAAAGGTTAAGGGAGGCTCTCATTAAATGTACAGCTATCTCCCCTAATACCCCTGAGGCTGAGACGATTCTAAAAGACAAATTTGTCACTGGACTGGCCCCAAATATTCAGAAAAAAACTGCAAAAACTGGCTGTTGGTCCAGAAGGGACCCTTGAGGAGCTCTTAAGAGCTGCCAACTGGATATATTACAACAAGATCAAGAGGAGAATAAAAAAATGAAA